TGAGGAATAAACAATAACTTTTAGACTTGATAAAATTCCCTATAACCCCTTGCATTATCATAAATTACTAGAAAATCCAAAAGCTAGTATATGAGAGTTATAAAATTTTGATAAATTGCTAAAGTTAATAATAAGCTCATATGTACTGTAGAATTTAATCATTATTGATTATATTTAAATTTATTAGACTCTAGATTATGAATTGATTTACCTATAATATATGTTTGTTCTGAATTAATAATTAATCATATATCTTACATTATAGGTTCTGGTTGATATTCGGGAGAATAATAGTTTGAGAAAGTCGTGACCACCAGAGGTGAGTTCATTTCCCACTAGTATTTTATAATATGAAATTTTATGAGTTTTATATTTGATTTATTTGGTGAAAAAAAATATATAAATAAATAAATAATATGTCTTTTCATATAGGTAAAGATTTGACCTATTTCTGTTGTGGTCTATCTTATAATACGAAATTAGCCTCGTACAATATATGAAAAGCAAAATTTATTTTTATATAAAATGTGAAAAAAAAAATGAATTTGGCTCTCGTGCAATTTTCAAATAATCGGGGACATTGTTTTATCTGAATGTTTTGATGAGGTATTTGGAACGTATTTCAACAGTTTAACGGATTCAAGGATTTTTTGTGACTTAGTATCTGATAAAAGAAAAAATAAACATCCGTAAACTGTTTTAACAGAAATGAGGAGCTTTACAATTCTGATATGCAAAGTATTTCTCATTTGACATGTGATCTCGATATTTTCAAACCCTCAAATAGTCCACTATGGATTGGTTTTGCCTGCCATATGGTGAATGCACCTTTATTTGGCCCTTCTGTATTGGCCCTTCTGTATTGTCCCTTCTGAAATTTGTTCCGGCCCATCTGTATTTGGCCAGTAACCTATGGTACTGTTAGGTGCATTCGATTCCTAGGAATTATCTGTTATCTGATGCGGTTTACGTATTCCCTTGCTACTGGGCTAAAATCCATAACCTTAGTGTGACCTATGGGGTGACTTTTACATTCATGAAATACTCATCGAGAAATAAGATTCTGATAATTGACTGTGAAATTAAGAAAAAAACAATTCTCTGATTTTGTACAAATTAGTAGTTTTTTTTCCCTTCTTAATGTTTACCTTGATTCAAAAAGGGTTTGATTCCAATAAATTTCACAGTTTATTCAGTTGCACATGAGAAAGGAAATATAATTGTTGTATTCTTTCTTAAAAATGACAATATTACGATATTTGGATCGTATTCTGCTATCTGTGAATTTCTCATGCAAAACTTGAAATTTGTTAATTTCTGAGAACTATTCTTATTACTATTTTGTTAGTTATCTAGGAACTCTAGTGGGAAATATTCTCACTGAGCGCTAGCTCATTCCGTTGTTTTTAATTTTTTTTTTCAGATCCGACGTAGCTTCATAGTAGCCAAACTTTTGGTTTGAGCGTTTTGCTAAGAGGCGTTATATGGAGAGCCTCTTCTTGTTGATGTTAACTTCAGCATATTTTGTTTTGTTTTGTAAAAATGCTTGTAGCGGTGAGCTTGTGGGCTGTAAGTACCGATCATATATATAGTTGCTCTGATTTCTATCATCAGCGGGTTTATGAATTATTTGGAAAATAAACTATGTGAGATGAATTGCTAGGCTTGACTCGTGCATAAGACTTGTCTTGTGCACAGGTCGCTGCTGTCGCGCACCCTGTATTTTATGAAATTCTGCTATAGTTTCGGGGCGTGACAATTTCGCTCGACGTACTACATCTCTTATTGTAGATTTTTAAATATTAATTCCATCTAGTGTATCACTCTGTACTTGGATGATTATTCTGATCGCTAGTTGCATGACCTCGTTACCCTATTGATTTTGGATCATTCTGATAATTCTATTCTAGTAGTAAATTATATTTAGATTATTAGTATTTCAGTTGCATGTTTCCATTGTTATTACCATTATTGTGTTGGTCGTTCGACCGTTTCTATTCTTTCTTTTGGGATCTTGTCGTGTGCCATGCACGCTGACGTACTCCAGTTCTCTCGGGTTGTACGTCAGATTTAAAGGACAAACAATTATAGTTCGGAGTAGTACATGATCCAGAGGATCCTTCGCAGGAGTGCTTCACAGACCGAGCAGAAGAAGCCGAAGCTTAATTATTCCCTTTAGTTGTTCGATGGTCTTACCTTACTTTTTAGTACTTTCTATTTTCGCCTGATCGATGTATTTTATATTTCTTCAGTATTTCATTCAGATTGTTTTGTATAAGAGCATGTTTGGACCGAATATTATGTCTGAGATGATGTTTCAGTTGTGATATGTATTATTTTATTCTGAGTTGTTTGTTATATTCTCGCTACTGTGATCGGGGACTTGTACCTTCGTTTTATATTTGCTTGACGCTTAGCGTATTAGGTTGAGGAGAAATATTTAATTTTATTTATTCTCATTAATCTAATACGTCTCGGGCTTGCTCGCGTCTCGGTTCCTTGGTATTTTAGGAAGCGGGGCGTGACACAAGGCCCATCGACAGGGGTCAAAACCACGCATGATGGATGGCAAAGAAGGTGTTGCACCTGAGGCGTAATAGAGATTGTTGTAGGTACTCGATAGGGTTGTTAGAGAGGATCCAATGAGAGCAAGACACGTGGAGTTTGTTAGAGAGAAGGGTGCGCTCACGTATGAAGAGCTAATAGGCGTTGTTCTTATTTTCTTAGAGCATCTCCAACCCAAAAATCCAAAATGGTGTAGTTTTTACACCAAGTTGGTGTAGTTTTTATACCAAATCACTATTCCATCTCTAACCCATTACACCAAATAGGAAATATGATGGATGAAATGGGATATGGTTGGAATTTTTGATTTGTTATAACCAATTTTAAGGGCATACTGGGAAAAAGAAAAAAACTCTATATCTACAGTGTTGCGCCAGTGCCCCAAAATATCGCAAGTTTTGGCGATCAGTAACATAGTTCGCGATCAGTTCCCAAATCTATTGGTTGACGAGCTTCTGGATGAACTCCAAGGAGCTCGGATATTTTCAAAGCTTGACCTCAAATCAAGCGACCATTAAATCAGGGTGGCGGATGAAAATGTGTACAAAACAACCTTCCAAACGCACGAAGGGCACTATGAGTTCCTCCTAATGTCATTTGGGCTAGTAAACGCACCGTCAACATTCCAAGGCCTTATGAATCAAGTCTTTCATGACTACTTGAGGAAGTTCATACTAGTATTCTTTGATGATATCTTGGTCTATAGCAAGGATTGGGATTCTCATCTCCGACACTTGAGGTTAACACTTGAAATTATTTCATCACAAAACTTGTATGCAAAGAGAGGGAAGTGCAACTTTGGGGTCAACAGAGTAGAATATTTGGGTAATATTGTGTCAGACAAGGGGGTTGAAGTTGATCCAAAAAAGATTTCAACCGTCTTAGATTGGCCAATACCGAAGGATGTGAAGGCATTGAGATCGAGGATTCAAGAAAGCATTGACAGAACTACCTGTTCTCAGCATGCACAACTATAATAGAGATATTCTTCGTGGAATGTGATGCATCAACAAACAAATAAAAAAATAAAATAAAACAAAATAAGATCTTGACCAAATTACAATCCAACATAATTGTTCCCTCAGATATTGTCCGCAATATACCTTAGACAGCTATGAATTTTGTGTAATAAGACAACCTCATATCAATCAAATCCAATTAGCATCAACAAACAAATTAAACAAAATAAAATAAAATAAGATCATGATCAAATTACAATCCAACATCACTGTTCCCTCAAATATTGTCAACAGATATACCTCAGGCAGCTATAAACAGCTCTAAGACTATCTCCAGCAGGAGTCGAAATTTTAACATTCTCTCTCCTGCCACATCATTTTATTCCCCCTCCACATAATTCAACAATCTTCATTTTCTATCATCTCTACAGCAGGAGTTTTTTCAAAAGATTTTTACTTTATTTGGGACCCACTAACCCCATCACTCCAACATATATACCCCACCTTATTTATTCATTTATTTTTCTTATTTCATATATATTACTACTACTACTACTATTATTACTAATATAACTCATTTATTTATAATTATAATTTTTTAATATTTACATAAATAATATATATTATTAATTGATATAAGGTGTTGAAAACTCAGATTTTTTTTGGTGTCCAAATTACACAAGACTAATCTCTATTTATAGAGGTGAAAAAATAAAAATTATTGATATAAAAATTATAAATTAATTCCTAGTATTTATCTCCCAAAATATCATTTAAAAACTAGGAGTAAAACAAAAAACTCCAACCAATCAAGCCTTGACACATGGCTTGATACATGAGCTCAATTAATTTCACCCCCCAAAAGCCGGAGGTGAAATTTTCACCCATCCGAAACCAATTTTCCATTTCACCTCCCACAAACCCACCTGCTGGAGCAAAAAAACCCTCCAAAACCCACCTGTTGGAGATAGTCTAACAGATATCTTGGGCTCAGGCTTTTCGCACAAAGCTTGCAAAATTTTTTACTTGTACAAAACAATATATTAAAGGAGATACCCGCAGCACTTGAGGCGATTGCAGAAGGGAAAAACATTAATTTCCTTTTTTCCACCTCAATAGCATTGAACGTCATGCATTGAACGTCATGAAGCTAAATAATTATGTCAGAACTGAACATAATCAACTATCACTTTCATAAAATATATGCAAATATTTATTACACAGAATTCATCTTTTTCCTTTTGATATAAAACCAGGCAACCCAAAACCAAGTCACCGGCATCAATGTTAAACATCATAATAATAATAGCAGTTCCAAGAATAGGTTCACCGTATCTGAAATTTTTTTGAAATTTGCAATATATTTCATAAGCATAAGCAGAACTTTATATTTAATTTAAGTCCTTTCTCATTAGATTTTCTATTCCAAAAAATTTACAGTTTCAATGAATTAATATACAAAGACTACAGCTGAAATGAGGCCAACATTGAAACATGATTATGAAAATTTTACATAGATAAACATCTCTCTCTACTACAATAACCACAAAAATGGGGGGAGGACTGAAATTAAAAAAGAATGGATGATACATTTCAAAATCACACATCAAAACAGGACAGCCAATTTAACAGCTATCTGGTCTAGAATAGGCACTGCCTGGTACTTCTACAAACAACAGATCATCTTCATCTGCTACTCTTCCCACATCTTCCTCTCCTATTACCTACAAACGTTCAAATGTTAAAAATGAGAGTTTACAAACTTTTCCTCTTAATAACAAGATTGTACTTTGCAGTGAAAAACTTCTCTCCAGAGGAGAAATACTGCAGATAGCACCTCTACTGTATTAACAGTGAGAAGCTAGTTGCCAGGCCTACCATGAAATGAAACCAGCTTCATCAATGTATTAACAGTGAGAACCTAGTTGCCAGCATAAGTCAAAACAAATCAAAAGAAAAGGCGCGTCTTCACTATATTGTCCAGTGACTTCATATATGGACATGGGCTATACATGCCAAATCCTGGTACGTATTAAGGCCAAAACAAGTGAAAAATCTGAGCTTCTCTACAGGAAAAATTATCTGCCAAATAGGGGGGAAAACTAATAGGCAAATGGATCCTACTAGGTATTTGGCTGGAGCCTCCTTTCTGAAATTCTTCGGAGTCAAAAAGACGCTGTTGAAATAATGAAAAATAGTCCAAAGACATAAAGCTTTTTTTTCTCTAGAACAACAATGCTTTGCAAATATAGGACTAGCACGAAATAAAATGGGAGATGGAGCAGTAACCCTCCATCGTCAAGAACATCTCTTACATTTCTAACACTGGTATCAAGACTGGATCTGTTACATTTCATGTAGTCAGTATCTTCGAGCTCCTTAAGAGCAGTCTTAAGTTGTTCTTTTGCCCTTTGCTTGGCTAATTTACGGTCTGTCTGTTGAGCTTTGGTGACCTCTGCATGACAGCCCACACACAAAGTCCGCATGTTCTCTAGACTACATTCACCTGCCAATGTTTAAATTGGCATTAGAAGTTAAGAGGGGAAAATAGGTAGAGCATACATTCAAATTTTCCTTTAGTAATAAGTACCTCCGCCTTTATATACAGGTACTATATGGTCTGCATGCCAAGCATTTCCCTCAACTGGTTCATAGATGAGTTTATCGAACCTGAGAAAATTAATAGTATTACAATCTTTAACATATGAGAAAATATGTGCAGTTTTTACAGAATTACACAAGTAATAACAGAGCTATTCCATGATAGTGTGGAAGGCTAATATAACCTAAAAGCTTTTTACTAAACTACTTTCTTGCAGGCTAGACCCCGTTGATGCTATCACTAATCAAAGGTTTTGTCGTTTATGTCCCACTTTGCATGAGAATAGTAATATTAGAGTAGCAAACCAAGAATTAAAAAAAAGAAAAACAAAAGAAAAAATTTGTAATGTGAACGTATCTTTTAAATTGCGGCATCAACAAGCAAGGGAGGGATTCCCTAAAACTTCCCAAGTTATGCACAAATGTTTTTCTTGTTGCGGAAAAAAACAAAAGAAATTTCAAAATAAACCTTGGTATCACATGCATATCATCAGTCATATACCTGGCACATCCACGATGTCATATTAACAATGCTCCAAGCATATTAAAAGGAACTAATCTTTAATTGGTTCGTTTTGATACCGTTGCTCCAAATTATCTAGAATTTGAAATAAATCCACCAAAAACATATAACTTCTACTAAAACATACAAATTGTGTAAGTTAAGCTAAATAAGTTATTGCAGTTTAAACAAGAGAAAACTTCCAAAACTCTACCCCACCAAAAAGAAGTCCCCTACCCACCCAAAAAAATCAGAAAAAATCAAACAATGTCAACGCCTAGAGTAGTAAAGTTTGAATTATGATAAATCACAATCTCAATGAAAATTTCAAATGAAGAACATACATATTGAAGAACAAGACACAATAACCAAGTCACGTTTTAAAACTTCTTACTCTACAATAACGTAATTTATGAGATTTTCAAATAATTCACACAGGTTTAGTAGAATTTTGAAAGTTCAGGATGTTGCTCGTCTTATAACGTTCAGTGGTTTTTGCAAACCCCCCAGTGTACAAGGGGTTTATTTAAAATTTACTCTAAAATCTAACTAACCAGTTTCTAACCACCATTGGTTTTTCCAATTATACCTCGAGTTCTCAGCAATAAAAGAATTTTTAATGTTCAGGGGTTGTTCTCCAATTTATAAAGTTCAAGGATTTCGTTCAAAACCCCCCAATGATCAAGGGGTTTATTTAAAATTTACTCTTTTAATCTAATTGCTTTTTTCTAACTACCGTTGTTTTTTCGGTTACGCCTCTATTTCTCACTTGTGGACATGAACATTTGAGAGCATTCCCTCCCAGGAATCCCTTTCTGCATTGCTGTTGTTGCTTGAACTCCAACAAGGTCCACTTAACCACTGACTTCGACACCTACTCCAACACCAAGCTTCGCTGCCTCGCTTGCTTCCATGCGACCACCACGTTGAATGAACAGACTAATGGAAACTTATTTGGTGTAACTTAAAATAATTTGGAAGGCGAAATAGAGATTTTGGGCTTGAGGGAACTTATTTTAAATATAGATAATTTGAGGGACCAATGTTAGAGAAATCCATCTTTAATATATACTGAAGAAGCTATTATTGATATTAAGCAAAAAAATGACAGTCTCTATGCATTCCCTGTCCCCTATATTGATATAGATCACTGAAAAAGTTGACCACAAAAATAGAAGGTGACGTGATGGCAAATTACAAATTCAAGTTTGCTTCTTTAGGACCAAATGTACAGCCTCGACTTAAAACTAGGATATATAAAATTCGAGCTCAACTAAAACAGTTCTCTCACATTTTTCCTGTGAGAATTGACATCAAACACCCAAAATCACAACCAACAAGTTGACTTAAACAGATACAATGGTTGAACTACTGATATTTTGCCATTTAGTTCATGATTCGGGTGCCTAACATCAATCCTCCACTTCATTTTCTAGGAGTAGAATCAAATTTGCAGATAAAAGTGGTTCGATTTAAATCCACTTAAATACTTATAGCTGTGAACAATGTAGCAGGGACACAACTATCTCGTGTGAGATACATGTCAGAACCTACTAAACACTATTTTTTTCATGTCATTGTTCGTTCATAAGTACTATTCCATATTTGTTGTGTAAGCACATTATCTCTGTGTTTTTCATGTAAGTTCTCTGTATCCGTGCTTCTTAAACTGTGACTTGCAGTTCAAAAAGGAAAAACATAGTACAAAATAGCAATTTGGCCTGTCTGTTAACAGAAAGAACAATCAGCAAAGGATGTGTAAAAGATACTCACAGATTCTTTTGTTTGGCCAACTTTGGAGCAACATTCTCAACATACTCTTTTCTCTTAGCAACAGGTAAAGGCTTTAAACAGTTTACAAGTTTGTGACAATCAAGTTTGCATTGAGTACACACACCATGTTCTATATGAAAAAGTTCCTGAGAGTTCAATGCTTTTAGTTAGATATCTTCATCAATTAAACTTAGGAAGTCAGATACAAAATTATAACTAAGCACACACTTGACTTCATTTTAGGAAAAATTTAGGTACCGACCTCACGAAGGGCTTTCTGGCTGGTTCTTATACGATACTCCTGGAAACAACTCAAATTACAGAATAGATCTTCAAAGTATTCAGGCTTCTTTGCCAGATTGCCACTGCAGCAACAAGGGCACCAATGAGGAAAGTATTAATATAGGATATCACTGAGGTTAATAACAAATTTTACCTACTTGCACTGCTGTAGGCAGAGTTTGCAAAGAGGCTCATCAGTATCAGTCCAAGCCTGAAAATATTCTTTTTCCTTTGAAATGTTACTGCAAACAGCAACCTTCTTCCAAACGGCATTTTCAGGCAGAGAACGGCTTATACTAGTTAAAGGGGTAACTCGTCTCTTACTTCCACCTTTCAGCAATCCCTGCAATTGATATTATTGTGCTTTACTTACGGCAGCCTTAATAAAGATTATAAACAAAATAAATAAAGTCAGTACTTGACCAGATTCGTAACTTTAAAAGGTCTCCAGAACATTATGGTATCATAGGCATTTTCGACAAAATAACATGAACAATGGTATCATAGGTATTTCGAACATGTTAGTTGTTGCACTTCTTTGAACTGGTTTATCAGTTCTTTTTTGTGATGCCAGTTTAGGGGTCAGCCCCTACTTCTGGAATTTTTGACTTCTTTGGTCATGTATGAGTCATGCACACCAAAGGAGGCCTTTTTTGTACAAGCTTATTATCTTAATATATATATATATATTCTGAAGCTTGGTAAAAAAAAAAAAGAAGAAGAAATTCTTTGAACTACTAAAGAAAAATAGTTAATGTTTATAAACAATGAACAGTTTGAGATATCCAATACAAAACTGGACATAGTCTAACTCACCTAACCAAACCTCAGAATTTTGATGACCATATTCAATGTTCAAAAACACGGTTTTTTTTATGTGTGCGGTTCGGGAGCACTTAATGATTAACCCGATTATGTGCAGGCTAATAGGATTATGCAGAATTATGCATTTTTGAAATTTTAAAACCCATCTATTACAACCAAATGTTAAAAAATGTAAAATTCATAAAAATTAGAAAGTATACTTAGAATCTTTGACTAGTATGTTTTGCCAGAGAGCTTCAAAGGGAATACTAGAGAGCTTCGAGGTGATCGTTAGAGAGCTTGTAGGGAGAGCGTCGGAGGTCGTACATTGCTCCAGTTAGCTCCCGCAAGCAGTGCATGGCCGAGCAAGTGGCGGCGAAGGCAGAAGATATTTCCCGCGTCCACTAGGTCCAAACAAGAGAGAATAGAGAGAGTAGTAGCAGTGATAGGACTAATTTTTGTTTGTTTAGAGTAGAAGATGAAAAGAAATGGGAAGCAATTTGACCAATTCACTTAAAATCCAACCCCTCTCCTTCCCTGCCAATCCGTCCACTTTAGAAGGGAGGGTTAAGAAAGCAAGTGAATTTGCTGTTTTTAGCCCTCCCCTCTGCCCCAATATTAACTAAAAATTGTAGCCAAACACAATATTTGGATGGTTGGCATTGTAAGAGCATCTCCAACAGCTTCTCCAAAATTTTCTCCAAAATGGGGAAGCAAAAGTCATATTCTCCAACTAATTTTTACACCAACTCCAACAGTTTCCCCATTTTGAAGAATCCTTTTTTTTTCCTCCAAAAATTTGGAGAATGCTGCAGATTTGGGGAAGCTTCCCCATTTTTTCTCCTCCATCCCTATTTTGGGGAATGAGATGAGGAATCTGTTGGGCCAAAAACCTAACTAAATTCTCCAAAAATGAAAAATGGGGAAGCTGTTGGAGATGCTCTAACCCTCCAAATCCCTTCCCTCCCCTCTTTAATATGGAAAGGCTTTAAAAAGCACCCACATAAATAATTATGCAGGCGCTTATTATTTATGTGCCTGATTATGAAGGAGACCGCATATTGTAGCACTTTTCCCCTAAATGGAGTTCTTCCAACCCACTTAGGCATAAGTGTCACTTATAATGAAGTGCTTTTTCCCTAATCGGAGTAGTTCCAACCCACTTAGCCTTAAGCGGCCTCTTAACGTGCATTTAGAACATTGACCATATTCACATGTGCACTCAAGATAATAGTGCATAACTGTCTCCCATCTTAACTTCTTCATTTATGTACGTAAATATGCCTGCAGCCTGCAGCAAAATTTGATCTCACCTAGTTTCTTTAAAGATACTATGCTAACCCTTAGTTATTCTTGCAGAGAAAGAGAGGAGATAAAGACATTATTTCCACAGACCCCAATGTCTCTTAAATAGAGATTAGAAGCGTTGACATAAGTGCCCAATAGCTAAACAATTAATAATACTCTCCCTCAAGCCGGGCATATATCCAACATGCCGAGCATGTTACATATAGAAACAACTAGGTGAAGAGGTTTAGTAGAGTAACTTTGCCTGGACTAGTTGAAGACATCATGTATATGTTTAGTTCACCTGAAGAAAGTAGAGAAAGAATTCACAAAGTAGCAGCCAGAAAAGTGCAGTCGCAGCCAGATATAACTCGAGCATAAGACAGAAACAAAAAAAAAGTCAAATAAAGATCACAAAAAAAAATCTTTCTTTTGTGATCAATAGACAGACAGAATAGTAGACAGACACGTCACATGGCAACCAGCCAATCAGAATAATAGACCCTCGACATTGGAAACAAATCCTAGAAACATATACTAGTCTAGAATGATGTGTATAACCAACCAACAGGAGAAACCCTATTGGTTCTAGGCTTTTCATGGAAAAAAGGGAAAAAAGAACCCTCAATCAATCCATCACTCGCTTGATTGACCGTGAATTCAGTGTCTCCAATGAGAAAGATGACAACATCAAGTCACCTGGCTCACAAGAAAATAATGTTCTAGGGGACAGCCAGAGCTACCATTCACGTGAATAGTACTCAGCATAATGGGAGGCGGAGTTGTTGAGGAGAAGCCGGAGCTGTTATTGTTAATCGTGATGCGGAAAATACAGTGGAACTGTGGAGCATGATCATCACCAAAGAGGCTATGGATGAACTATAGTCACTGTTCATTCACGCAATGAACACTAACTTCGGTACTCTGCATGCGATAAACCATAGCTAATGAGACAATAAACTTTTCTTTTTGGAAGCTAGGGCTTTTTAGGTGGTTAGGCATTTTGATCAAGGTTCAACAAAGAATTAGGAAGTGGTGATACAAGTAGATTCAAAGAAGCATAAGAGCAGAACTGTTAGTGATGTTGAAGCTGTTGAGGGAAGAGCAAAGATGATGTTAGCAATCCCTCGGCCACTCCAAGATCAAGGACAAAGAAGAGATAGGCCTCTAAGGTTGAAAACCTAGACCACACAGAGAAAGAAAAGAGAGTTATGATTATCACAAACCCTAATCTCGCTTAAATAGAGATTAGAAGAGTTTACCTATGCGATTATGTGACAATTAATACCTGACAATTCTCAATGACCAAAACAGATGATCTTTGTCACACTGTTTAGCTCCATATATTCAGGTTGTTACTCAAGGAAATATATGATATATCTTTGGCCAAAGTCAAAATCAACAAGCTACAGCAAATTAATGAGGTTAGAAGAGTTACATACACCAGATCCGTGATTGATTGATTCTTTTAGATAGCATAATTCTACACTCAATGGAAGTTGCAGAGGCTTTCCCAGGAGCTTATTTTGTTGGATAGGCCTTAAACCATTCCATTCGTTGCTGAATGACTGAACGGTTTTGACAAATGCTGGGTTCTCCTTCAGGAGACTTTTAGTCGTTTCATTCCTCGTATCACTATCAGTGATTGTCATCGACTCCAGATCCTCTTGCCGGAAGTTCACAAAAAGAGGCCTGGGTCTTGAATCCTTTCCTGGTACACAAATATACAGGTGAATTCGCCCAGTATACTGGCTTACCTGCAGAAAGAGCACAGCGGATAAGGATATGTAAAATGAAAACTATAAATAAAAAAAAGTCATTTATGATATAAATCAGTAAAGTTCAGATGTAAAGTTATTATATTTTAGGATCAAATACTTAACTTAGGTTCCGATAATAAAACTGATCAGATCCACATGAACATATTACACTGATTGTGCTTGATGATCACCAGAGTACTCAAAATCCATCGTTTACATGCCACAGAACTCAACAACTATGCCAGCAAATTAGAAACGCGGAACTGCGCAGTTACAACTCAAAATCTAAAAATTGAACCAAACAATTGCAACTGTAATTACTGTATGAAGAATTGCGATGTCTTGGTGGCATTCAAGTGTCAGTCGCATT